AAATATTTTTTGTCCAATTGATGTTTTGTGCTTCCGTGTATAAAATTTTCGAATATGTATGCATCATGCGATTTCATAACTTCCCATGCAAAGATCTCAAATTTGAGCCTCATGCTTTTAAAGTGGAGACGATTTTAATTTTTTTTACCCAAACCTTATAAGCCTAATTCAGTCATTTGCCTTCCCTTAACTTAACTTTACTAATTTTAGAGGGAGAAGAAAGAACTCATCGAGAACAAAAGAAAAAGGAAAACAGGAAGTATTTGACCATCTTTATATTTGGATACCACTTCAAATAGTAAAAATCATAAAAACAAAGAAGTGGAAAAAGGCAACAAGAAACTGAAGCTTGGGGAATCTTTTTTTTTTTTTTAATAATATACGGTGAGACATGAAATCTTTATTTGAAGAATTACTTTAGTAATATACTTTCTGTCTGTTAAGATTAGCGGTATTATTCCTATTCTCATACTCAGGATTTTCATAAATGCAAAGGGTGATTATAAGTGATATCAATTTACTTTGAATTAATATAATAATTAATTGTTCTAACTTCTATTTTCATTTTTGAACTATGCATAAAATCAACCAGAAGTTAGTTTCATATGTTCATAGTTCAATTGTGTTGGGATGAGAACAAAACCTACAAAATCACGGGGATAAAAACTGTTGGAAGAGAAAAGGCAGTTAGAGAAATCGATTTCATTTGGTAAGCATATGTGTAATATACTTTGATTACTAGAGAAGACAGTGAAAATTAAATTAAATTGAACATAGCACAAATGAAAAGAAATAAATTGCAATCTTTTATTATCAAATTGAAACTAAAAAGGACGAGTAATGTTCTCATCCATCAATCAACCTTCCAACAAATTGGGGAATCTTGAAAATAGATTTATATGTACAGGAGCAATTACATGTGTATATTGAAATGGAGAAAACAACATTTGTATTTCAAGGTTTATATATATTGCTTTTAGTTAGCCAAACAAAAGGAAAGTTGGGAAAAGGAAATTAGTTATTTTGCTGGCAGTTTGAAATCCCAAAGGAAATGAGTAATGTTTCAGTTCTGAAATCTATTAATTTACAAGGTATTGATCTCGAGGGTTATTTATTCAAAGGAGATCTCCTTGGGGTTTTGGGTAAGTTAAAAAAATTAAACTCTCTATCCCTTGGTGGGAATAACTACTCAAGTTCCATTCCTTTCATTTTTGGTAATTTCACATTTGGTTTAGAGTTTTAATTTAGAGGCAATCATTTAATTGGAGCATTTCCTTATGAATTGATGCTTGTGAGAAATTTTACCTGATAGAATCTATAGTGGAAACAAGTCTCTAGGTCTATTATAGCGAACATTGAGAATTTCAACCAACTTGTAGTTTTGACTTTAGTAATAGTGGTCTGTTGGGTATTATTTCAGCGAACTTTTACGCTTTATTTTACTAAACAGAATTTCTTAAGTGAGTTAGCGTCCGATCTTTTGGGTTTGCTGAATCTGCAAATGCTTGCATTGCAAGAAAACATGTCTATACGTGAAGTTCCTCAACATTTCACTAGCTAGATGGGGGTGTTTAGAGTATTAACATCTTCAGACCTGATTTTTTTCTTTTTTTTTTTTTTGGAAGTTTTTTTATAGTTTTGTGTTTTATCGATGCAATTTTTTTTTTTTTTTAGAAAATTTAGTACCCACACAATATTAGTTCCGTGTGTTATGAAAAAGTTTTTACCATATTGGAGCGTGTGGTAAAAAAAAAATTATTTCTAATTTGTTTTTAAACATGAGAAGTTAAATTTGTATGAATTTATCTATGGAGACCATTCAGAATGTTAAATCAGTAGATTCAGTTTGACGCAGATCATGGTAGTACTTTTATTTCATGGGAGTTAATAAAAAAATTTGTTCCGGACCCATTGTCAGATGCAATGTTTTCTCCCTTTGAAGTTATTTAGTATATTGAAAGTGTAAAAAATAATTGAGATACAATATGTGTCATCTAATATGGAAATAATGTGTTCTTGTAAAAAACGTATATTTTTCGAAGCATATAGTAAGTTAACTTAGATAAATTCTAGCACTGGACATTAAGAGCGGAAGAACTAATATTCTAAAATGTTTGTATTGTGTTAATTAAGATTAATTATTCTTTAAATTTTATCTTACTCAATCATTTGTGCAATAAGGTTGTAATCATTTGTTGAAAAATAAAGTCAAATGTATACTCTTGAAATTTTTTTATTTTCATGTTGAAGAACATTCAATAGTTTTATAGCCTCGCATCGTTCTCTTTATAGCTGGCAGTTTATAGTTTTCATTTTACGTTTAAATCTTTTACAGTTATCTAAACATGTTTGATCAATTTTTATTTTTTATTTTGCTGCTTTTGTGTATAGGGCTCGATTATATTACTTCGCTCTTGGAATTGAAGAACATTGTAGCAAGATCTCTTTTGGGTAGAGATTTCTAAATACATTTTTTTCTTTAGTTGATTGTTCATGATTTTCTGTAGAAGTTTTCGATTTCCTTCATTCAGCTTTCTTTTTCTCTTTATTTATTTGATTTGTTAACAATTGCGTAGTAAGAAATTTAAAAAAATAAAATAAAAAATCCAACTTTTGTTCATTGGTCGAAGCAACTATTTGTTCCAAAAAATAATCAAATAGATGAATAGTAAATTAATACAAGATAAATCTTGAACGAGCGAACTCGTGAGAAATATCAATGGGTATTCATGTTTTGCTGCCATACAAAAGCTTGTAACATGTTTGAATATAAGTTTGTAATTTCTATTATTACTTAACAAGATTACTCTGGTAAAAATTTTAGCCTTTTTTCTTTTGCACAGTTTTCCATTTTTGATTTCATTAAACTTGAATTTATATACTCAGAGGCCTTCAAAACTAAAATATTGAAGGCCCCCACTTTTCAAAGTTTTATCCTCCTTTTCCAGATTTTTTCTGCTATACATCCCCTTTCACAAACTATAATCTTTTTCAAAGAAATAGTTATTTATTTGTTTGTTATGTATAAAAATGATATATATGCTTACATATTATGGAACTTAGCAATGAGGCTACTTTAACAGTTCTTTGTCAATGACATTTGTATTTTCCTTTTGTTGCATTTTTTCTTCAAGATTCATGATTGAAGAGATTTCACAAGCATTAAAATAAGTTGTCTTTGCATATTAGTTACTTCTGAATAAGATCTTTCATCATGTAGGAGATATCATTTGTGGGGTACTCATTTCAACTCTGTCATCGCCACTGGTCAATTGGTCATGCTCAACCTATGGATATGTGGGGACTACCATGCGTATTTCTTAAATTCGATAAAGCGCACGCACATATTTATAATTATATTTTATTTTGGGGGTGGGGAATCGGATGTAGTTTTCGCTTGATTTATTGCCACCAAGATAGTTAGTACTAAAGTTTATGTTTCTGATTATAGCTAACATCCATTGAAGCCTCCTTTAAATGGTGCTTGCAATCCTCATTTGAGTTTGAGAGGTCGCTATACAGAAGGCTATGTTTTATCATGGATTGAATTAAAGCAGGATGATCAATTAAATGGTTCAAATGACTCCCAAATATGCTTGTGGGACATCAATACAACTTGAAGGAAAAGGAGCCTTAATCTAATGTAAAATTTTAACGTATCTAATAATAGAGACATGTTATAATTTCTTTTGACTATGTTACTGTAATCTTTCAGTATACAGAAAATTCTCTCTCGAATTGTTATCCTTAATTTTTTATCTTGAAACTTTATTGCTTTTTGACAATTATTTAATAATTTCTAGGTATAGATTTATGAAGCTGTTGTAATAGATGTAGCATATCATCTTAGGCATGAGTACTTGTATGATTCGGCTTGGTATGATCAGTACCTACTCATGGGATCTCCATAATCCATCAGGCGGCAAGCATATTCAATCTGTAGTTGCTCACCGAAGTGAGACGTGTCTCAATTACAATTCCATGTTTCCAAGGAAGAAGAGAATTGGTTTATATTTTTATATCTAATTTCTAACTTATTCATACGAGTAGTTAATATACAATAATAAAAACATGATCATATTCAAGCATTAACAGTACTTTCTACCTGAACTCATCAGTTAATAGCACCCATGCACTAAAATTTATATTAGATATTCTTGCAACCTAGAATTCAGAATTTTCACATTTCCAAATCCAGGAACCGAATATTACTCCCTCAATGGTATATTACTATTTTACAATTTCTCTTAATTCCCCTGAAAGAAATGAATGTTTTACAATGTTGGCTAGAATCTTCCTACCAGTAATGCTTTGTGATCTCTTTTATATTGCAATCGTCAACTTAACTCTAATTTGATCTGCCTAGTTTAATAAAAGTTGTCATTGGTGCTTCCTTGTTTGCTTCTCTTCCAATTATTCGTATGTTATTGAGTTCATATGAATTAAATCTAATACAAAAGCATTAATTCTTGCAACAAGCCGACCAGAAACTATTGTCGAAGACATTGAAACTATAGTTCGATCTTATGTTGAAAAGGTAATGTTTAAATATTTATTTTAATTTCTCTACGCCGTATTATTTATTACTGAAATACAAATCAACTTTATCTTATTTTAAATTAGTTAATGATTATCATAGGTGTCTAGAAGTAAAGATTAGTTAAAAATGTTTAACTTTTCCCCTCCCCCCAACAATTATCTCTCGCATACCTAAACCCTTAAATGTGTTATGCATATGGCATATGGATTGACCCCCACAAATGTAGAAAATTACTCTTAAACTACAACAAAAGTAGCTTTTTACGGCGTGCATTTACGGCGTGCATCTACAGCATGCCGTAAAAATAGACCAATTACGGCATGCGATGTATGTATGCCGTGAAAGATCAAGTAATTAGAGCATTTACAACGTGCAGAGGCTGCACACTGTATTAACGGGCATTTACGACTTGCACTAAAAAGCACGCTATGTTATATTGTCAAAAAATTCATTACAAAGCCCTAAATGCCCATTCTCTTTTCCCCATCGACTTCGCCTCTCCACAATTTCCCTTGGCGCTTCAGTTCTCACTCTCTCTCTCCACTTTCCACGGCCGACCACAGGCGCCTTAGCTCACTCTCGTCTCTCTTTGACTTCCACCGTCAACCGACGGCGCCTCAGACTTCACTATTGTCTCTCTCTGCCTTCCACCGGCATGCTCACTCTCATCGCTCGCCTCCCAGGACACAAATCATTAAAGTACGTTGTCTATGCACATTTATTTATTGTTCATTTGAGTTATTTTTCCTGTTGCCAATTTTGAGTTTGCAGAAAACTGGAGAGAAATGCATCTGAGGGAAAAACTAAGTATGTTTTTCAATTTTGTGTTTATTTAAAAATTTAAACATGGGTTGTTGTTGAATTTTATTGTTTAAAGATTTATTTTGGATGTTGGCACTGCCGCACTGAGAACAATTGAACAATGGTGTGTAGATGGTTGGCGAGGGTAATAAAGTCATTTGCAATTGCGTAGATGGAGGCCAGGAAGTTCAGTACCCAAAAACTGAGACCAAAGCTTTACTAATGGGCATTTTGGTTGAAGGTTGGTAGTTAAATGATAAATAATTCAATTTGATAGTATAATCCAATTAGTTTGTAGCTTATAATTCACTCGGATTTTTATTTCATAAATCTAAAAATGATGTTTATTTGATTTCTAGAAGAACTTATAGAATATGAGCTAATAAAGCCTAGCTTTAGCAAAAAAGATGAGATGATAAGATATGAGGTTCCAAGTCCCACTAATTGATGCAATTGGATATGTTGACCTGGTCAACTGGGCGAGATTGGAAAATAATGTCACTTAACGAGCCGCTATGCTAAACTCTTGGACTAAAGGTCTGTAGCATACCAATTTTAGGGTCAAATTCTATCATTTAAGCTATCAAAAGAACAATAAATAAATGTGCATATAGATGCGTACATATAACCCTCATTTACGGCGTAAACGTGTTGTGTAGTACATTGTAACCAGAAGTGTGGTTTGTGACCTTTATGCCTGTAGGGTATCTTCAAATTGTGCTTATACAACTGGAAGATGAAATTAGCAATATTGTATATCACAATTGTGATTATTATTATGACATAATATATTCATGTTAGAATTTTTTGAAAGTGTTATGTAGTCTATTATGACTAGAACATTAGGTCACAATTATGATTTTGTATATGGCCTGTAACATTCTTCGTTCTCTGTACTTGTTTGATATATCTACTGTTTATTTGTGATGTTGTAAACATATGCAATGCACGTCGTAAAAAATACATTTTGTTGTAGTGCTTCTATTGTCACTAAAAAACAAATGTAAGAATTTCATGTCACACTTTGCACTATCCGTACTTCTCTATGTGGAACCTTATATTGCATATGTTTGTTTTCATTGTACCTAATGATTTTATTTCAGAGCAGCCCAACTGCATTATAATATTACTAAAAATATTCGCTTTACCATATATTATAGCATCTCATTTTTATCTTGATTCCCTACTAAGTTACATTGATTTCAGTTCACATAGGTCATTGTTTTGTATTTCAGCACATAGAATCCATAATTAGAACTTGAATACCAAATATCGCATCATTAATTAACAAAAGCATTGGTGTACGTGAATCTGAGATGGATCACCTTGGAAAGCCTATTGTCGTTGATGTAGAGGTGAGCTTGAAATTTTAATTGGGTTTTCTGAAATGAAGTCTATAAATTTTTTTTGAGAGCTGATATATGGATTTGAGGCTCGTTTATACACTATATTGAAATTATGTTGTGCTTTTGACCGAATATTCAACGAACATTTGGTGCGAGAGTATGAAAAAATATTGCTTACTGTACCGCAAATTTTGCATTTGGAAATATTTTAACGCATTATTAAACATCTGGTGTGTGATGTGCTTTAAGTTTTGACGTTGTAGATTTTACTTCTCTTCGATACATATGACTATTGCTCAATTATTTCTTGTTTCCCTTTTTCCTATAGTTCTGACATGCGATGGTTTACTTGATATTTGTACCTTTTATTACCATACTACACTACCAAATCTGTAAGAGACCTGGTAGTGTAGCCCCTCTCACAGTTCGGGGTGGGGGTGGGTTTTTTGGGGTATTTTTTTAATCATGGGCCCGCGTAGATGAGAGAAAATGCGAGAGGAGGCCTCTACCAGACCTTTTACAGGTCTGGTAGAGTAGCATTACCCATTTGAGAAAGGTCCTTTGAGTGTATGTGGTTTTGTAGAGGTGTCTTTCTGACAAACATTGTTAAGGCAAGAATTTACTAATAACATTTTATACATCCTTAGTAGTTAATCCAAAATAGGATCCAATCTTTTACTCTTTATAATATGGGATTTTTTTGTTTTTTTAATGCAAAATCACCTGTCTTTATCAATTTTAACTTTGTTCAAATTCTCCAACTTTAAACTAAATTAGAATTGGTCTTATCTTTCACTAATTTTAATTTGATTAAAATTTGGAGGATCAAGACGAATTTTGAACTTTTAAAACTTGGTCAATAACCATACAAAATCATCATTTATTGTANTTTCTGTTGTTCTCTAATGGATGCATAGAATAGGTTGCTCTATCAATTACTTGTTATAAGGTATGGGTATTTAATTGGGTAGATTTGTCATCCATAATGCAATATTTTGACAAGCTAGCATTACCTTAAAAATAACACAGCCCGTGCATTACACGGGCAAATGACTAGTGTGTGTGTGTGTGTATATATTAAGAAACATGGCACATGCCTTTATAGACTGAGAAACATTCTTGGCTCTAAGGAGTGTTGATGTCCCAATTCGTGCAGTGGGCTGAAGTTTTGTTTGCTGATGCTTTCTTAGCTTTTGAGGATGCTGATTTAACTGATGACAAGGTATGGATGCTTGTAGTTGTTAAAGATCTTATTTTACGCTAAGCTTAGGTACAATAAGCAATTTTCCTATTGATTCTGAATACAAAATTACGTCGTACCTAGATATTAACAAAATTTCTGTTAGGATCTTCCTCAAGCTGCTCAAAGTAATTTCCGGGCTCAGTTAACCATTAAACATCGAATTCAAACACCAAACCGAGAGATGACCGACCGCCGGACTGCTCACTTCCTATGGTTGTTTTTCTCTTTTGCTTGTTGATTCTACCACACACTTAGGATGGATACCACACAGGTAAGAGTCACAAAGCCTCAAGCAATTGGTAGGGAAGATAAATCACGAAGAAGAAGGCAGCAGTTCTCTTTCTCTCTCGGGTTCTTTCAAACGGGACAAAGGAGAAGGAGTTTAACTACCAATATATATATTAGTTCAATGGCCAACTTAAGGTAAGTCACAATTTGGTAAGTAGGCTTGACTAGGGTTAAGTCCCAATAGAAAAACAACAAGTCACAAAGATTATTAGCCATCCAATAGGTAAAGCAACCCTAGGTCGGTTCATCCATTATTCGGTGTTGAATTATCGTTCAATCATTCATGTCGACTGATAAAATTG